TGAGATTTTGAGCTGAAGAAGTCAGTAACTTAGAAACATCAAAGGGCACAGGCAAAAGCTTGCTGTGTCTAACCGAATGACCAGGAAAGGGACATTCCATACCAGCACAGTCATTTCCACATTAGCAAAATAGAAAACTTTTAGACAATAACTGTCCCACTGCAGTTAAACATGAAAGCCGTGTCCCCATCCTAGTCAGCAAAGGCTGCATAGGGAGCTAAGACTGTTACCCCTGTCAGTCTATAAGGTGACTCTTGAGGTCCCTAGCAGGGAGCTAGGACTTTCCTCCCCATTGGGTGGAGACAGTCATGTATTAGCAGAAGGGGGCAGTCAGTAAGAAAGCACACCTACCTCTCCTAGTCTGGGAGGTACCCCTGGAGGCCTGATGGGGAGCCAAACACTTCCCTATCCTGCCCGGCAGTAATGAAGACTCCTATCACTTTATGTGTCACAGAAGCAGAGCGGGAAACCCAGAATGCTTCTCCCACCTAGGAGTAACGAGACTCCCACACTTTGCTTCTCCTGCTGGAGCAGTGTCACATAAAGCCAGATAAAACAGAAGACTTAAATGTGAACAGAGTCTCATAACATACACTTAAAATGTATACATTCAATTATCATGCCAAAGCATGAGAAGATTTCATAAGGAATTTTAAAAAAGTAATCAATAGATACAAATGCCAAGATAACAGAAATGTTAGGGTAATCCAACAAATATTTGAAAGTAGACATCATCAGAGGCAAATTGAACATGCTTGAAACAAATGAAAAATAAAAAAGTCTTAGCTAAGAAACAGAGAATGAAAGGAAGTAAATGGAAATCTTAGAACTCAAAATTTATAACTGAACTAAAATACCAATGATGGGCTCAACAGCATGATGGAGGGAATGAAAGAATCAGTGAACTGGAAGACATAACAACAGCAATGATGCAATCTCAAGATCAGAAAGAAAACAGACTGAAAAAGCAGTGATCTCCCAGAGACTCGAGGTTCTATAACAAAAGAGCTAACATCCATGTAGTCAGAGCCCTGGAAGGTGACAGGAAAGAACATGGGAATGAAGAAGCAATGATGGTTGAAGATTACCTCAATTTTGCAAGAGACATAAACTTACAGAATCAAGAAGCTGGGTGAACCTTACACTGGATAAACCTTCCAAAACACCCATACCAAGATATATCATGATTAGGTTTCTCAAAACTAAAGACAAAGAAAAATGTTTTGGAAGTAGGCAGAGAAAAACACCTTGCCAGAATGAGAAGGACCGCAGATTTCTCATCAGAAGCCATTAGGCTGAAAGGAAGTAATGTGATATATTTTTCAGATGCTGAAAAAAAAAAAAACCAACCTGTCAGTCCAGATCTTGTACTCAGTAAAATTATTCTTTAAGGAATGAAGGGAAATAAATATAGTTTCAGATGTAGGACTCACATAGGATTTGTATGCTAAAAACTACAAAATGCTGACAAAAGAACCAAAAGATTTAAATAAATGAAGAGATAGATGGTGTTTTCATGGATTAGAAGACTCAACATAAAAAATACATCAATTCTCCTCAAATCGGTATACAGATTTAATGCAATTCCCATCCAAATCTCAGCAAGGTTTCTAGCAGGAGTGGACAAAACTATTCTAAAACCTATCTGGAAAGGCAAAGGCATGAAAATAACTAAAATCATTGTGAAAAAGAACAAACTAAGAGGAATCAGTATCGGTAAAGAGACAGACAGCTCGAGGAACCAGAACAGAAAATCAAGAAATAGACCCACACAAATATACCCAAGAGAATTCTGATAAAGGGGCTAAATATATTGAATCAAGGAGAGGGCCTTTTCAACAAATGGTGCTGGAGCAACTGGTCATTCACCGACAAAAAACTTAACCTCAATTGAAAACTTTTATCTCATAAAAAAAAAATCAACTCAAAAAGATTCACAGACTTAAAAGTAAAATAATGATGAAATGTTTAGAAAACACAATAGAGAAATGTAGGCCTAAGGTCCAGGGCGAGATAAGAGTTCTTAAGACTTGACATCAACAGTGTGACTCATAAAGACAAACTAATGAATTGGATCTTATCAAAATTTAAAACTTTGCTTCTGTCAAAGAGGCATCCACTGAGTTTTGATTTCAGTTATCAGATTTCTGAAGAAGATGAAAAGATAAGGAGAAAATATGTGCAAAGCCACATAGCCAATGAAGGTCTACTACTTAGAATATATAAAGAAATTTATAAGCTGAAATAGTAAAATCCAAATAATCCAATAAAAAATGGGCACAAGACCTGACAGACATTTCACTAGCGCCTATACACATGGCACACAGCCCAAGAAAAGATGCTCAACACACTGGCCATCAGGGAAATGCAAGTAAAAACCACACTGAGCTATCACTACACATCGAAGAGCTTATAAAATAAAAACGGGTAATGACAAGCACCATAAAGACGCAGAGACACAGGATCACTCATATGATCCTGGTGGCAACAAAACATGGTTTAGACACTCTGGAAAAGAACATGGTGGTTTCTTAAAATACTGAACATGAAACTCCCATATGTCTCAGTAATGGCACTCCTGAGCATTTATCCCACAGAAATGAGAATTTATTTTCCTGAGAAAACCTGTATACGCATGTGTATAGCCATTTAGTCATAATAGCTGAGAACTAGAAACAACCAGATGTCCTTGGTTGGGTGAATTACTAGCAGCTATGGTCCTCCACACCATAGAACCCTCCTCAGCAATAAAAGAAACAGGTTGTGGATGCACACAGCCATCTGGCTGCATCTCCATAGAACGATGGCAACCCCCAAAGATTACTCAGTATGTGATTCCATTGACAGACCCCCCTTTTTAAAAATATTTATTTATTTATTTATACAAGAACTGGGGAATAGGCCAGATGCGCGGGAGGGTGAGAGGACTCACCAGAGACAGAGTGGGGAACAGAACAGGCAGATTGATTGAAGTACACTGCTGAGGTGAGCAGCTGGCGAGACAGGAGAGATCTGCCCCGCCATGTGGGTATCTCTGTGGCCAGTGGGGATCAAACTGGCACTGCAGCTTCACAGTGCTGCACTCAACCGCCTGCGCCACCAGGGGAGGCCCAACAGACCCCTCTTGAAATGCCAAAGCTATGGCAGCAGAGAGCAACCAGTGGTCGCCAGGTTTGGGGATGGGAGGAGTGAGAAAGAAAGCAGATGTGATGGCACGGTGATCATGAATGTTCTGGATTTTGACAGTATTCGTGTCCTTGTGACGCTGTGTCCTAGTTTTTCAAGATGTCACCATTGGGGGAAATTAAGTAAAGAGTACACGGGTTCACTTTCAATTATTTCTCACAACTATATATGCCTGAAGTGTCACATTAAAAAAAAAAAAAAAAGACCCACACTGGTACCTGCGCCCACTCCTCGTCATTCCAGAAGAAAGGTCCCCAGGTGACACAGTGTGCGGCCAGAGTTCAAACCCATTGCTATTTCCTTCAGCCAGTGCTTCTTAAACTTCAACATCCATATAAATTTTCTGGGGATCTTGTTAAAATGGCTAACTAGGACTACAGGGCCTGAGGCTCTGAATTTCTAACAACCTCCCCAGTTATGTCCCACCGAGGTTCCTCTTTGGAGTAGCAGGGCTCTCTAGTCAGTTGCTGCCTCCAGGGTGGGTGCATAAAAATGACCAGGGCAACTCTGAGCAACATAGCACACTGGGACCTGGGTGTGGAGATTCTGATTCAGTAGATCTGGGCTGAGGCCCAGGACTGCGCGTGCTTTATAGCTCCTCTGGTGAACCTGAGACCCAGCAGGTTTGGGATCCTATAGTAAACTACCTCCAGCTGCCAAATTCCTCTGTGAACAAGCTATTCTTGGCCCCCCAAGGCCATGACTAATCCCAAATGCTTGTCTACACCCATCACCTTCGCTGTCCAAAGCCTGGGGTCAGGCCTTCTCACCCGCCACTAGATGTCCCTGTGGAAGAGCAGGCTGCCCATCTTGCTTCCACCTGCCCTGGCATCTGCTGCCCATCACTGCTGTCTAGGTGCAAGCTGTCTACTCCTTCTGTCCACCACCCTGGAGGGGGCCTTGGTCCAGGCTCAACGTCTCTGTCCAGCCCTCAGCCCTGAAGGACCAGCCTGCTTCCCGTCTTACTCCCTCGAGCCCCTGCTGATGTCAACATGCAAGTGATGTTCTGGACCATATTTCTCTCCTTCAGTCATTTACTTGCCTTTATTAGAATTTTCACTGGATTTTGTGCAACCTGTACACCAACCTTTATTTATTAAAATGGACGTGCTGTTTGGAAGTCTGCATTTATTTTGGCACCACATATAAAAACCATTCATGTTTTTTCATCATTTATAGAAGTTTCCATAAAAGAAAACAGGATGACAACCAAACAATGTGATTAAATTCTACCCAGACTTTGTGAGGAAGGTGCTACTTGCTTAAAAAGAAAGATGAGCAAGGAGAGATGGATGGTAAAGACCCCCTGGCAGCAAGCTGAGACTCTCCTGGAGGGGAGCGGCAGGGCTGAGTGCTAGTGAAGACCAGTGCAGGCAGTGGTAATTGATGCCACTCCAGGTATCACTTAAATGTGGTGAGCACTGCTTCAAATCTCATCAGACAATCGCTGTGCTCTTGAAAACCTTTAAGGAAAAGTTCAAATTCCTTAGACTGCTGGGGTGACATTTCCTTCATGATTTGATCCACTAGACTCCAGTAAAAATGAAGTCATCATCCCCATACACCCCAGTTTCTCTTAGCGTTTGGAGCTCTGCCCACATTATTCCCTCCTCCTGGTAGAGGATATATAGTGATAGGACCACATTTAGGTTGACTATTGTCTACTTCTGGGCCTCCCACAGAGCCTGCTTAGAACAAAATGAGAAGGATGAAAATGGAGAAGGGGGGAATGGCAAGGCTGATAAGGACATTGGGAAGAAAAAAGAGGGAGGAGGAGAATATTGTTAAACTTCTATTCATCCTACAAAACCCACCTAAAAGTTCCTTCTTCTTGAAGCTTTCCTTTATTTTTCACACATCTAAGCATTTCTTCCTCTGGGTTCCCACAATATTGTTGCTGTATCTCTACTGATGCATTTAACATTTTTTTTCTACTGAATTAAAGAAAGAAAGAAAGAATGAATGAATCCAGGTGTCCTTCACTTAAATGCTGATCTGCACAAAGGCAGGATCAATATGATATTTGCCTATAATTCCAGGACCTAGCTCAGTGGCTCTCAACCTTGCTGCACATTGGACTCACAAAAGAGCATTACCAAAACATGAATCCTCGCCCACCCAGGACATGAACCCAACATAACTATTGTGAATTGAGCTCTGGGTCCCAGGATGCTGAAAACTCTCCAGCTGCAGCCAAAATAATGAACCACCATCCTAACTCAGAGATGGATGGTGGAAGGAGCTCACTAAATGATGAATGAGTGAATGGATGAATCCTGCATTTAACACGTCATAGTTCTGACCTGACATGACCATTTCCAGGGATTCATTTTATGTTAACTCATTAATATATTCAGGAACTATTAATTAAACCATAATGTAGGTACCAGGTGTTAAGTGAGGCAAAATAGCTGGTGATAGAAACATGAGTGAATGTCCCCTTATTCCACTGTGTGTTAGGGAAGCTGGGGCTCAACCTGCTTCATTCAAGAACTTTCTGTCCTGCTGAGTAAATGGCCCACTCCCACCAGTGACCACCTCCCTAGTGACTGACAGCAAACCTTACCTCTGTCTGCTTCCTCCAGCAAATGTAAGGACGAACAGACTCTATCCCCTGCCAGAGAGAAAGCCCCTGGAGGGTGTGTGTGTCAAGAAACCAAAAAAGAAGGTGGTGCTACACAGACCCCCTAAGCCCTGCAGCAGCGAAAGTAGGTCTCTCAGTGTCAGACCAAAGTTCTGTGCCTCTCAAGTAAACTCCGCTCTGGGTGTGTATTTACACCAAGAACATCAAAGGCCTCAGGATGTGACAGATATTGATTATCCCACAGTTAGAGGGAATTTCCTTCCGGCTGCTGCCGCCTCACTCACAGGGCTGTGGTAAACCCAAACGCTGCCGAGTGCCGAGGAACAGACAATGGCCCCTGGCCACCGCCGCTCCACGTGGATGTCCACATGGCGCCTCTCAGCTATCTCAATGGCTTCCTCATGGGGCATCCTGATCCAGGTCCTGGCCCCTTCAACTCATTCTATGCAGAGAAACCAGAGGGTCTTCCTAAAACCACAAATCCCATCACCTCTTCCCCCAACTGGGAGCTCTTTAACAGCTTCATATGGCTGTCAGCACATACAACACAGGATGAACCCCGATGTACAGTGTGAGCAGAACCCAAATACACCCGGGACGTCTTGTGTCCAGTCCAGCCAGGTATTACATTCAGAAGAAATCCAGGTCCAGCATAGTATGGAAAAAAAGATGGGAAATAACCTAAACCTTTGCCGAAGAGTCTTAAAGTGGCAAAAACAAAAACATTCTAAAGAAACTCTTCTCCCATCTCCCATAGTATCTCTTCCTTTGTCATCTGCTCACCTCAAATCTCCCCCTCCCCCCCCCCAAACACTTTGGCTGCAGTGGCACCTGGTTTAGTCCTTTCTTTCTTCTACCCACTTGCCTACTTTCCAGACCTGCTGAAGAACCCCAAGCATCTCACCACACATCACTTAGCTTTTCAGTGCCTTCTCTTCATTACTCGAATCAATACAACAAAGACCCAAGAGACAAGCATTCAAAACCATGAAGCCTGAGGGAGGGGCAGGCAGTGGTGAGTTGAATGTTGCACCTTTTGACCCCATCACACCACGTGGCCCTGACTGACTGGGCAGGCTCACCTGTGAGTCTCCACTCTCCCCAGCGGCCCGGCTCCTTCACCTTGGCATAAGCTGCTCTCTCTGCCAGGGATGCCTCTTCCCTTCCTCTCGCTGACAAGACATTCAATTAATTCTTCACATCCAGCACTGATGTCACCTCCTTTAAGGCTTTTCTCATTTCCACCAGACAGGGTTAATTTGTTTCCTTCTCCAGGGTTTTTCTGAACTTTGTACAGATCTCTATTATAGCTCTTGTCAGGCTGGGTTGCAATTGCTTAATTACCAATCAGACTCTTTCATGAGACGGTAGGTGCCAAATTTAAGTCTGAGTCATCTCTGTGTCCTCAGTTCCAAGAACCAGGAAGATGCTCAATGGAAGTGACTAAATGCTCCAGAAATAAGCTCCAGCTCTGAGAGCTGCAGGAAGGCATTCCCTGTGCTCTCCTTCCTGCTCAGCATGTGGGGACACCTGGGAGTGCTTTCTGTGCAGGAGCTTCCGCATCTGTGACAGCACTCACCTGGTTAGTCCGTACACCCGCCCTCCCCTGTTCAGGCCTCCAAAGGGTGGTGTTCCCTTCCCGTGACTCCAGCCAGGCCCGGTTCTTACCTTGTTAAAAATAAAAGGCGTTAAATGCAGCCCAGCAGTTACACAGGAAAATCAAATAAAGATGCCCAGACCTGGCAGGAAAAAGTAGAACTCTAATTTAGATGAGCCTGTATGTAGAAAATCCAAAGCAATCTACAAGAAAACTCTAAGAACTAATGAATGAGTTTAGGGGGCCCAAGTCCTCGGTTTGGCATCAGAGGTACCCCCACCACCCCGTCACCTGGACCCACCTTTCCCAGCACACCCAACATTCTAAGGCTCTGAGCAACAGCTCTGAACAGGTTCTGAATGTCTGGCCCAGTGCTGTCCACTCTCCCTCACTGCCCTGAGCTGGACAGTGCCTGGCCTGGCTAGGCCAGCTTCTCTCCCATCTTTCCTCACCTCTAAACTCTAGAAGTAAGAGCTGTGTTTGTTGAGGGCAAGAGCTGGACATGCGCCATAAGTAATAACTATTATAATCACCCTTATTTTTGAGGGGAGATGTCCCCGGCCTTTGCCCACACTCGCAAGGTTTCATAGCCCAGCTAGGCTGCTGCCAACACCCAAAACCCTCACCGAAAAGTTGGAAGATATGAGAGGCCCAATTCCAGGCTAGATGTGTCTCCTGCCTCCCTGACCCAACCCAGACTCCACAGCTGTGACGTCATCAGCCCTTCACGGCGTTTAGAGACGGCAGTATTGTGGTCATTTATGGAGAACTCCCCATGCTTCCCTCCCTGGCCCCACTAGGGAATAGGAGCCAGGTCCTGGTCAGCTCTTAATTAAGCCATACTATGGTACTGTGTAGCTGCATGTGTTAGCACGGCTCACACACAGTAGGCACCTTGCTTAACCAGACTTTTCATCAGCCTTCAGAATCTTCTCCCAGGTTCTTTATAAAATGTAGTTTTAGTAAGGTCCCCACTGATTTAGTTTAACCATAAACACCCCCCCCCTCCACACACACACGCACTCACGCCCCATCTGCTCATCATCCTTATTTGATGTGATTCCTCATCCTCCCTCCCACTCCCCAAGGCCCCAGATGCTCTCTGACCTCCCCACCTCCGCCTGCCCTCAGCAAGAATCCTTCTTCTCCACGAGGTTTCCTCTCAGTAATTTTCCACCTACGGCCCCACCCTGCCCCTTGGCTATGAATTCCCACTTGCCACACTATGTTCTGAGTTGCTCTCCCTCCCGCCACACCCCTATACTGACCACGAAGGTCCTGGGTAAGGTCTGCCTGACCATCTCCAGCAATGTCCTTGGCTGGTTTTTGCTTTAACAGCGCACACACCCAGGGCTTTGGCGAAGCAGGAAGGAGGTGCTAGAGGAACCCTGTGCCAGGGAGAAGCACGTCTGCTCCTTCTGCAGTCGCGGGAGAGACGCCTCGCTCACAGGCAGGGTGTGAGGCTGATCTGGCTGGAATACACCGTGGGCGGGTGGAAAGCTGCCCTTCCTCTCTGACAGCTCTCCATGTTCCCAGCACCCCCCAGACACACACACACACAGCCAGGCTCAGGGCACGGTCCTGGTGAGAGGCGCCCACCCCCAGCGCTCCACCTGTGTTACTGAGCATCTGGCCCATGGTAGGTGCTCAGAAAACATCTGGTGGATATATCTGCTGTGTGATTTTAAATGCTTCCCTCTACTTCCCTGGATCTCCTCTACCAATCAAGGGGGTTGCACTAGATCAGAAGTTCTCAGATTTCCCCTCCCCACTTGTCTTGGTGATACAACTACTGAACCATGTAAAAATTTATACCAACAGACGAAAGCAGACTGTGCTGGGTGGAAAGCAGGAGAGCGGCACCCAGAGCCTCATCTATGTGGCCCTTCCTCTCTCTCTTGGTCTTAGAGTCCCCAGATCCTCAGGGCACAGTTTCACAAACTCAAGCTAGATGAGCCCTAAAAGGCCCATCGCTCAAAAACCCAGATTGCTCTTTAAGGAACATCTGTTTTTTTAAGAGAATGACTCTAAAAAGGCAAAATCCTTTCTGACACATTTGAAAACGTGCTTGAGCATCTAATGAGCTTGAAGGGTGGGGTGTGGGCACCTGCCTTGGCAGGGGGGAGGGGTGTCTGAGGTGCTGCCTCGAAACCACACTGCGTAGTCCCCAGCTTGGCCCTGGCCCTTCCAGTCAGCCTGCCGTCTTTTTCCTAAATGGAAGTGTCCATTACTCTTCTTCCCCACCTCCTATTTTCCAGAACTCCCTCCACTGGTTATAAGCAATTGAAATAGTGCCGGGAACTGGGAGGAAGTTGAACAAATGGATGAGTGATCGGCAAACAGCCTGAGCTTTCAGTATTTTTGTTAAAATTTCACACACCGGGAACCTATAATCACAAGGGAACTGAGTTTATGAAAACAATCATGGAGATCAGGACACAGAAAATAATCATAGTTTTCTCCAATAGTTGCCAGGAGAACCTTCCCAATCCAGAGAAGTCAGAGCTGTGCATCTACAGCGTGTTCTGGGTCCTTCTCCTGGCTCGGCTCGGACGGTGCCTCACCCCTCCCCTGCCCCTGCCTCCTGCACTGTTGTTCTCCTCCAGGTTCCTGAGAAGTGGTGTCCGGGAGAAGTGGCAGCTGACTGCTAGCACCTATGAGCACCCAGTGCAGTCAGAACAAGTGCACAGCACCTGGAGGAAAGCGCTGCTGGACAATCCCAGCGGATCTAGATCTGATAAAGCGTGTCCACAGCAGCCCTATGGACAGCCAAAGGTGGAGCACCCACGTGCCCACCTGGGCAAGCGGTCTGCCCGCCATGGGAGCGGGTCCAGCCTGTAGGAGGGAGTCCGTTCTGTCAGCGCTCATCAGGGCGGCGCCTTGAGGACGCGTTGTGAAGTGAAATGCGTGGCCCTAAAGGGACAAGCACTTGTGGCTCTACTCACAGGGCAGGCACACGGAGTTCATGCTTCCAGAGGCAGGAAGCGGCAGGGGAGGCAGGGCTGGGGGAGGGAGGGAGGGAAGGGGAAGGTGGGACCTCTGGGGTGGCCGTGGGGAGAGGGGCACAACCGTGGGATGGCACTTGATGCCCGAACTGCACACCAAAAAATGGTGAAAGTGGTAAATGTGGCAACGTGTCTCAGGCTATAACTGAGTCACCCACCGGCCCAGCAAACTCCTTCCAGCATCTGAGGAGGCCTGCCCTGAAAGGACCCGTCGGCCAAGGGACCATTAGAGGGGATTTCCAGGGAATTCGGTGTCCACTGAATGGGAGAGTCTAGCAGATACCAGTGCGCTGACCAAACTGTTATTCATTAAATTAGAATTTCTCAGAAACTCACATTCTTGCATGGGTGCTTCAGGGAGCAGTGACTTCAGTTACTCTGTCTGACTTGATTTCTTCTCCTGGCTCCTTAGGGATTTGGGACTGTCAGGTGTCTCCTTTACATTTCTGGGGAGAGCAAAGCTGTGAATGAAACCTGTCACAAATGATCTGATGGGTAACCCTCTGGAAGGTTCTTTACAGAGCCTGCGAAAGGCAGCTGAGGGCAAGCCAGGCTTACAGCAGCAGCCCCAGACCAGAGGGGTAAAAACAGCATTATTTTCCTGGCAGAGTGCGACAGAAAGCAATTTGCTGTCTCTGTCGTGTGTCCGGGCACATTTTCACCTGCCAGTGTGCTCGGGAAGCAGTGGCAACTCCACGCCTTGGCTTGCCGGCTGCTTCCTGGGGTGCCTCGAGACTTGACAATTGTTGGGGGAACCACAAGCACAGACAGGCTCAGCCCTGGTACCACAGGTCCCAGCAAGCAGCCTGCCAGGCTCAGTTATTGTTCTTAAAAGGGGCAGGGATCACAGAAGCATCAGGAGCACGCGACGTCCCAGCAGAGCAGCTTTGCCCAGATCAACAGCAGGTCAGGGCAGAGGTGAAGACAACAATCAGGGCCCCCCTGCCTCTTCACAGGGTAAACAACCAGCACTGAGAGCTTTTATTTGGCACCAGTGGGGCTACTAATGGATTACATGAACTGTCCTATTAATTGCTAGAACAATGCTAGGAACTCAGTATTATTGTAATTTCTTTTCCAGATGAGAAAACTGAGGCTCAGAGAGGTTAAGTAACCTGCAAAGTTCATACAACTAACAAGAGGCAGAGCCTGGATTTTTATCTCTTCATATCTAACACTTCCTCCCTTCCTTTTTAAAATGCATGGTTTGTTGGTTGGTTTGTTTTTTTTTTTTTGGTAAAATAAAATATAAACACAAGAAACCATATAAACCTAGTGTATGAATTACATGATTATTTAAAAAAATTTCATTTTTTGTATGGAACAACTGGGATGTAGGCCAGAGACAGACTGGGGAGCAGAACAGGCAGATCCACTGAAATCCACTGCTGAGGGGAGCAGCGGGGAGACAGGAGAGGTCTGCTGCACCATGTGCATAGCTCCCTGGTCGGAGATGGAACTCAGGCCTCAGGGGTGATAGCATGATAGTTCTCAGACTTAACCTCTGCACCACCAGGGAGGCCCTCAGTTATTATTATTACTATTTTTAAGATTTCTTTTTTATTTATACAAGACCTGGGGTACAGGCCAGATGTGCGGGAGGGTGAGAGGATTCACCAGAGACAGAGCAGGAACAGAAGAGGCAGAATGACTGAAATACACTGCTCAGGGGCGCAGTGGGCAAGACAGGAGAGGTCTGTTGCGCCATGTGGGTTGCTCTGAGGCCAGCAGGGATCAAACCGGCACTGCAGAGACTGCGGACAGCTTCACAGCCCTGCGCTCAACCACCTGCGCCACCAGGGAGGCCCTCAATTATTTAATTGTGGTAAAATACACATCACAGGATTTGCCATTATAGCCATTTTTAAGTATACTGCTCAGTAGGTTAAGTCCACAACCACCTCCAGAAATTTTTCCGTCCTACAGAACCGAAACTACATCCACCAAACAACTCCCAATTTCCTCCCCACACCAGTGCCTGGCGACCACCATCCTACTTTCTGTCTCTAGCAATTTGTCCACTCCAGGGACCTCATACCAGTGGAGTTCTCCAGTATTTGGCCTGTGGGACTGGCTTATCTCACTCGGTACCGTGTCCTCAAGGTTCACCCATGTTGTCCTTATGGACAGACCACATCTGGTGGATGGACACTCATCTGCTGATGGACACTCTTTTCTATCGTTGGCTACTATGAGTCATGCTGCTATCATCTTGGGTGGACTCAGGTCTCTTTGAGACCCTGCTTTCAAGTCTCATGAGTGGAATTGTGAGACCAGATGGTAATTCTACGTTTAATTTGCTTGAAGCACAGCCAAATGTTTTTCACAGTGGCTATACCATTTTACAGTCCCATCTTCTGTTTCCTTGTAAGGAAGGTCCTTCTCCACCTCTTACCACCCTGGGGTGGTCAGAGTCCTCAACTGCCCACACTGGGAACTGAAAGGCAAGGCTTCCTGAAACAGCCTTAAACTAGAATCTACATAGAAGTTCACAACCAAGGAGCAATGGAACAGCAGACCCACACGACTGACTTCCATGGAGCCACTTGCTGCTACAATGAGATGAAAAGATGCCTCTAATACTTGCTAGAATTAAGAAAAAAAGGAGCCTACAAAGCAGATTATCTTTTCTTTAAAAAGATAACTATGTATCTGTAGGAGAAGCTCTCTGTTAACTAACCTTTGGTGAGATTAACTGCTTAACTGGGTTAACCGGTCTCCTGTCCCCTTCTAAACACAGTGACCCAGCATCTCCACATGTTACGCCATCAGTTCCCAGCCACCACGTGGTGCAATGACCAAGGGGCAGCTGTTTCTGGACATGTTTATTCTGGTTGTGGTTATTATGTATGAATGAGGAAATATGGAGACAAGAAGCTGAAAAATGAGTACAGAGAATCTTGTTTCTATGAGAACAAAGCTGGATGTTTGGAGAGGCGCCGCTACATGCATGAAATGGGGGGTAGATGAGACAGCTGTAAAAGTCTGGGATACCACCTCTTTGAGGGGACCGACCTCTCTGAGTTACTATTTTGGGGCCTCAGCTCCAGTCTCCTTTATTGTCCTGGACGTTCATAGCTACGTTCACAGTTCAGTTTATCAACAACACACTCATCACCTGTGTGAAGAAACTATTTTATTCTGTTGCAAACCCTCAGGGCAGCATATTATAGGTACAGACAGAGCTCAGCCCTGTGGTGGCAAATACACAGCACTTGTCCTGTTCTCCCCATCTAAACCCAAGGCAGACATCAATAATCAGTCACCTCACACTCTCCTGCTGGTCTATGCGATGACCTTAGAAACTCTCTCTAGGTAGCCATAATAAATCAACCAAGGTGACATTTGACATTCTATGCTGCTTCCTTAAATTAAAGAACTTTTTTGAAAAATCAGAAAGTTAAACCTACACAAAGTGGCTGGAGCCCTAATCCCCAGCCCCAGCGTGAACACACTCTCTCAGCAAGCACTCCCTGTTCACCGAATGAACCAAGGAGTGACAAACTCATGTCCTCCTGCTCTCCTGAGACCATTCGGTCTTCATCCCTCACACCATCACTCTTCATTTCCCGCTATACCTGTGCCCTGGATTTCCTCCCAGTTTACAAGGCAGCAGTGCCCAGTGCCCAGGAAGCCCACAGTCACCCACTGGTTTCTTCTGGGTGTGACGCCCGCTCTGGGGACCTGCGCGTTCTGTCTACCTTGGGGAGGGTTGTGACAGACTTTCTTTTTGCCCCACTACTGCACAGCTTGTGGGATGCACCAATGGATCTCTCTTCTTCCAGGACTCAAAAACCAAACAAAGAAAGAACTCTCTTCCCCGATTTTGTCTGTAAAATCCAGGAAGCAGGCCTGACCAACACCCTACTACCTTTTTATCCCTACTACCTTTTTATCCACGCTGTTCCTTCATCCATCTCTTCACTCCACAAACTCAGTGCTGACCTGCTGAGGTCCGCCCAGCCCAGAGGCCCAGCTTTGATGCCATCATCACAAAGAGGCCTTTTCTGATCCCAAACCTGAGAAATCTCAACTTGACACCCTTTGCAGACCTCTTCCATTTTCCTTAGCACATTCTGTTTTGGTCTAAAGAATCATAGTCTAAGGTCAGTCATATGTTGAGAACTATTGAGTGTGCTGGTCACCACGCAAAGCACTTCCACACATCTTATCTAACATGCAGACCTCCACAACCATGTCCATTTTACAGACTTGGAAACTGAGGCTCAGAGACACAGAGATGCTCACACAGGCTCATGGTCACACAGAGCCAGATATTCATTCATTCCATGAATCAATCAATCACTATTTATGGAGAGCCTAAAATGCACTAGATATATTCAAGATGCTGGGAAAATAGGAGTGAGTCAAAGTTCCATCCACAAGAGCTGTCGTCTACAGTCACTTACAGCGACTGCTGTGTGGAGTGAGGCTGCACGCCCCGGGTGCCTCTGGGCTCAGTGATGCTGGGTATGTGCGCCATTTTATAAAGCAGTAGGGGTGATGTGATGACACCTGAGCTGAGACTAAAAGGAAGTCAAGGGGTGAGTCATGCACAGATCTGGGGGGCATGTGTCACAGGGTGGTCCTGGGGGTAGACACACCCTTGATGTGTCTGGTGGACAGCAAAGCAGTTGGTGGGAGGCGGAGATGATGCAAGAGAGGCCACAGAGGTCAGCTCACCTAGGGCCTTGCATGCCTGCTAGGGGTTTTGCTTCGACTCTGAAAAGGATGAGGAGCAGCTCGAGGCCGGCTCTCAGGTCCCTGGTTCTTAATTACTATGCAGTACTGCTGAGTGAGATGTGAATGAATGTCAGAAGGTACATGGGGACTTTTTCTCATTAAAACCAGCAGGATGGCAGCCAGACAGCCTGAAACAACCCAAGAGAGGGCACGAGAGCAGCAAACAAGGCTGGCTAATTACCAGGGGAATGGGGATGACCACCACCTGGGTTGTCAGGGATCTCTGAAGCCCCTGCAGTACTGGGCTAGGTGGGGTGCTGTGATGGTCAGCGGGTCCTCTCATCGGACTTGGCAGAGTCACTTTCCCAGGCCTGCCCCTGGGGAGGCCTTAGTCCCTCCATGAAATGTGTCCTTTGCTCACGAGAGGCCACGAGAAAGTGGCCACTTCTGCAGTGACTCACCAGAGAGAAATGAAAACTGTGCAGGCTGAAAAAGAATCCATTTGCAGCGACATGTTTGCCTCCAGAATACATATACACGTAGAGCTTTTTCTTTTTCTTCTCAGCTGAAGTATGGCAAAGTTGCTCATACACTCACACTGCCTCCAGCAGAACATAAGCCGGCCTTGGAAATCCCTGCTTCCTCTCTCCCAGAGCAAGGACACCAGCCTGGGGACCTGGAGTCCCCACCACCTGACAGGCACGTGCCCTGCGGCCCCAGGACCATCTGACTACAGACATTTCTTCTACCAGCGCCCCCAGCA